AATTTCTCCCTCCACTCTTTATTGAACTAGCTTGTAGTGATGTTTGAATCCATATTTTATGGAATCTTCAATGTGTCCATTTACACCTTCGGGATTTTACACTCTTTTCTTAAAACACTCCAACGATACAAATCTTCTGTAACACAAAAATTCTGTTCAAAGCATTTTAAACAATCCGCCTCATAATGGAAAACACATTATGGCCAGGAATCCTTCCTTTTATCGCATAAACATTAAGTTTGCAAAATACAAACAAATACATTTGCCTATGTTACCCCTTCCATCTGCCCTCCTCCCATCTCCCATATCATAGCGAAAACGGCCTTCGGCAATAATCGTTTCTTATCCTTTAGATCCTTAGCGCGCATAAAACAATTCATGTCTAGTTTTATTTGTTTGCAAATGGATGTCCTTTTTTGTAGCCTTACTACATATGTATATCCGTGATTGCTTTACATTTGGGATAGTTTGATTTTTTTTATTTTTATTTTGTCCTTAGCCTCCAATATCCCATTTCCAAATACATTCAAATAAAAACAAGGATAATATGTAAATCATGTACCAAAATTTCCTATAAATAAATAAAATTCGCATTTTCCTTTTAAACCCCGGCATGACAACAATTGTCTCAACATTATTGAAATTTAATCCATTCATCCTTTATTCATTGACTGTGTGTCCAGTGCGAGAGGAAATTGCAGAAGATTTCTCTAAATTTGCGTTTCATCGACAGTTTCTTTTCATTGTTTGCATTTCGAAGAAAATAACAATTTAGGTAATCCTTAACGAATGTTTTTTGCGCCCAAATGTAATCAATATAAAACGAAATGTCTTATTTGAAGATATAAGAAACTGACGAATTTTCGTATATAAGTATCTCAAAGTGCTTTCAAGGGATATTTTGAATATTATTGTCGAAATTGATCTGAATGAATATTTGAATATGATAATATTGGATCTTTAAAGAAAATTAATTATAATCTCCAATCTGCATATTGCTGTACACCGCTTCAGTAATAATTTATATCGTCTTCAGTATCAAAATATTGTGCATAAATGTTTGTACCTTGTTTTTTTCGAGTCAAATATGTTTTTGTATACCCTCTGTCATATGGGTAATGAAAGTATCACTTGTAAGGATAAAATCAACGGGACCTTTGGGAGAGTCTTGGAGGAACTGACCGAATGCCTATGATCCCAGGACTGACGTGGCGAGAATAGCGCCTTTAAGGTCACTACCTTCCAAAGTGACCTGCCTAACGCTGGGATGTCAAGCGACCTTGCGCCCGTCAGTGTTCTACGGTTTGCAGTCAGGGTCCCCAATGTATTAGAAAACGAACCTTGTTGATAATTGGGCGCCTAAACCAGTTCTTCAGGGTTAGAGACCTTACCATGGTACGAACCTATGCCATGGTCGACCTCCTAAAATACTTATTCTATGTAGTCGAATTTTAATAACCCCCCTTTTAGTAACAAAAACAATATCTACGTATGCGATTTTTAGACTGATGCTGGTGTGGCTGCCTTAGAACCCTCAGTCTCGAACGACAAATGCTATTCTGCCGGACCATTCTTTTGCCCCAAACCCCAATACTCGCGATGATGCAATCGAAAGCCTGGAGAGGGAGACGGACCTCCTCCTACTCTTTTTATAGAAACCGACTCCTTCCGACTTAGTCAGGAGAGCATTCCGAATCGACTCTGGGACGACTTTCCCTCGAAAGACGAGAAAGACGTTATGGATATTACTGTAATTAGTACTACGGTGACTAATACAATAGCTATCCTGGTGACTCATCCAAATCAAGTTGAGTACTTTCAGACGTTGAGTAGGCACGCAAGTGACGAAAAGGACGCAAACTCCATCTTCACGGCCTGTAGTGAAGTCTAGATACTTCTGAGGCAGCTGGCCGTCGAAGTGGATACTGGGGCCGAAGAGCTACCCATTGGAAAAAAAGGTTGAATCATTGGAACCGGGAACCACAAAACGAGCCAATGCCAAAGAGATCTCTGACAAGAAAATTTACGGGAGAGCGGTTAATTATTGCAACCGGTTTATCAGGCGGAATAGAGACTTGATAACGGACAAGGAGTTCCTTCTAATTAAGAGGCACCTCAAACACATCCGGAAGTTCTCCAGGAATTGATAAAATTCTACTTCTTAATTGATAAAATTCCAACATCACGTGTCAAGTCTACCACCGAAGCCCTTTCAAAAGAGGAGAAAACTGTGAGTGGCCCGAGCACAACAACTAGATGGCTAGGAACTCTAACCGTCAGCTCCACCCAAGGGAAACCTAAGCGCTTAGAAATCCCCGACATCATCATCCAAAGCAACTGAAGGAGAATAACTGTCGAAGCCCGACGGATATCCCGTAAAAAGGCCTCCAGAGAAGCTGATAAGGAACAACGACAGTTATCTGAAAGACCTCTTCCAAATCGATGAAGTTGATCGACGGAACCTACGGTTTGGCCATATCATCTTGTATAAAAGGATCAAAGTTGTTAACTGTCGTACTAAGGAGTCTGCGGAATTCCTTAAGAAGACAATTAACAGCTGTGACCCTCTTTGAGAAGGTAATAAGCTATAAGCCGTTGAGGTCCACGAGATACCGAGTGGGATGGTTACATCAGTGTGGATCCCACAAACTTTTTAAGGGACTGAAATATACACTGAAGAGGAGAAAACTGTGAGTGGCCCGAGCACAACTAGATGATAATGATGGCTAGGACTTCTAAGCCGTCAGCTCCACCCAAGGGAAACCTAAGCGCTTAGAAATCCCCGACATCATCCAAAGCAACTGAAGGAGAATGACTGTCGAAGCCCGACGGATATCCCGTAAGAAGACCTCCAGAAAAGCTGATAAGGAACAACGACAGTTATCTGAAAGACCTCTTCCTAACCGATGAAGTTGATCGATGGAACCTACGGTTTGGCCATATCATCTTGTACAAAAGGATCAAAGTTATTAACTGTCGTATAAGGAGTCCCTCTTTGAGAAGATAATAAGCTAGAAGCCGTTGAGGTCCACGAGATACCGAGTGGGATGGTTACATCAGTGTGGATCCCACCAACTTTTTAAGGGACTGGAAAATACACTGAGGTTGGTGGAAAAGCAGAACGACGAACTTCAGATGAGGAGTTAGAGAATCCTCAACTCATTTGAAAAAACGGCGCTAAGTTCGCCACCGACTCTGCTGGTGAACAGTACCTAAGGATGAACTGGTTTATGGAATGGGAAAACTACAACAGACAGCAGCATGCGCTAAATATGGCGAAAAGCCTGTCGGCCATGAACCAAATTAATTTTCAATATAACAATACAGCGAATACATCAACCCCAAACGTTCAAAATACAACTGTGTAGTACTAATAGACGGTGGTTGTTGTATTGAATATACTATTTGCTTTAATGGGTTCTATACAACCCTGCAATTCTGCAACATGTTTCAAACAGTGGTACTCATGTTCCTGCAACATTTGCAATTGTAGGCCACCTAGCGTTTAAATTCTAAACTATATTTGTTTTTACAACAACTATATGCATGAGTACATATTAAAATTGTATTCGTATTCAATTTTTCAACAAGTGGTATTTTTGATTTAATCCGCCATGCCATGGATAGGACCTTGAACATACCGAAAAATACGTGAATAAAGATAATTAATGTTCTCAAAATATATAATATTGGGGCTACCGTTATATAGGGCTGCATGATATGACTTTACCGTTATGAAAACCCAAAATACGAAATTTAATTGAAAAATGTATCAAAAACCCCCCATATTAAGAGGTTCCCTTTATATACCCTTTATACACAATAAGAACCCAAAATACCAAATTACAGACAATTTTGTTGGAAAACTATCAAATTTCCATCCTAGCATACCATTTTCTAATAATACATGAGGAACTTTGAGAAATTAATATCAAATACGAATTTCTATATTACCTTCCTCACAACAATTTCTGTTATCACAAAGAGGGATTTTCCCCATCAATTCCCAATATTCCATCCTCAAATCAATTTCCAGTAATACAAGGATTTTTTTCTTAAAAGATCCAATATTCCTATTCTCAGATAAATTTCCAGTACTTCAAGAGATACAATATTATTATAATCAGTTAAATTTTCAGCAATACAACGAGAGATTTCTTTACGGATTTCGGTCTTACTGAAAAAATGTTATTAGCACAAGCAGATGAAAGTCATCGAGGAACGAGTTCAATATCAGTCTGATACATACATGAAGCGTATTCGGAGACTTTAGCCAAAGTTTTTTTTATACCAATTTGTCGGACACTCGACTTTCGTAGCCCTATGTCCGTAACTGTCAAACTACATCAATTTCAAATCTTCTTTCTCATGACATTCTGTGTTTCATTTTTTTCTGAATGAAAATCAGCTGTTTTTCAAAATTCTTCCAATTCGCTCTTCACACTCATTCGTAAACACATAAAGAATTTGTGCATTTTTATTTTGTGTTCATTCTTTATCAGACATTCTCTACCAGGTCCGCCAATTCGTAGCACACGGAACGTTTTTAATTTTGCGTTCCGATTTCAGATTTTGTACGGCCAGACGGACCCGATATAACATTTTTGTGTGTCGTTTTTTTGCGTGGAAAAACAAATAAAAATCTATACAAAAATATTTTGGAAAATTACAACAACAATAATTATGTAATTACAAAAAAAAAGGAATTCAAAATAAATAACAACAAATTGGCAACAGACAGAGCGAGGGCATGAATTTTGGTTTGGTCGAGAAGTGAACTGAACGGACAACAGAACCAAGAAAAAGAATAATCGAACGAAATTTAACAATACGCAGTTTGGCAATTCGGAAATAAACTGCAAAGAAATAAAATTGGTTGGAGTGGCAGCGGAGGGAAACGTCTATAGGAAATAAGAGGGAAAGGAATCCCCGAAAAAGTCTCAATAAATTTATTCTTAAGTGGTCGTATATTTAGTGTGGTTCCATTTGCACACACAAAGATGACCGATGAATTGCCGGCTCCCACAAACAGTACCTCCACAACGGCAACAGGAGGAGGGTCATCCACGGTTTCAACAGAAGGTGCTGCAAGCTTAGCACTGCCAACAGCACCACCTCAACAACCATCGGCGGGGATTTTAAGCAGCGGTGGCCTTAGTATTCTATGTCCCAGTGTGGAATTTTCGGAGATTTCTTTCAAAGAGGTTTGCATGATGTTCTCCCTCCCTGACAATTCCCACAATTTATTATATAATTAATTGCCTCTCTGACCTTTTCATCCTTTACAGAAAGTTGGTCATGGTTCATACGGTGTTGTTTACAAAGCATTTTGGCGTGATCGTTTTGTGGCCGTTAAAGAGTTTGGTCCCAAGGCCGAACAGAAAGCAATTGAAACTGAAGTCAAACAGCTGTCCCGTGTCCAACATACCAACATTATAGCTCTCTATGGCATCGCACTGAATCAAATGTCCACCTATTTAATAATGGAATATGCCGAAGGTGGTTCACTCTATGATTTTTTGCATGGCAAAGTAAAACCCTACTATTCGAAAGCACATGCCATGAGCTGGGCGCGACAGTGTGCCGAGGTAAGTGAGAAGAAGTGTTTTGCGACGATGTCTATGAATGCAATAGATAAGAGGCCAGTATTGTGGTTTCAGGTTTTTAAGGGTTTTGGCTTTTTTTTCTTTTCCTAGTGTGAGGGGCAAGGGTAATTGCTCTTATCTCTATACTATTGTACGTGTGTGTAGTTTTGTTAATAATTTATTGAGGGCCCATATTAATTATAAATTAAGATGATAACAATGTTAGGCACTACGTGGGAGGGAAAATAGCACAATTGTTTTTAGTATTATTAGATACTAATTTGTAATTTTATTCTAATTAACGGATATTGGAGTTTTTTTAAATGTAATCTAATTAGATTTTATGTTGTCGATTTGGACAACAAAGAATTCAAGATTTTCAGAGGCTAGCTACGTCCTTTGAACTACTTACTCTAAAAGAAATTAAATCGTACTTGTTGTTTTAATAATGATAATGGGAGTTATGTTGTTGTTGCAATTCGTATTTCTGCTTATATATTACTGCCTAGTGTCGAGGTTTGTCAGAAGATACCACAGATGATGGACCTATATAGCCGATAGTTGAACTAATTTTGTGGTTAGTATAAATGCTGCCATGTTTGGATTCACCATAATGTGGATGAAAGAGAGGTTGAAGTTGATTTATGTTTCGAAAAAATATTACGATGCACAAAGTTTGGATGAAATCGATTAGATCCTTCGTTAGCACAAGGCAGACATACCGAGGGACATTTGTAAATTTAATCCAAATTATCAGAAATGGATTTGGTCCAAAGAAACTTAAGGTTTAAAAAAATCAAGATTTCGTAGCATGTTGTATCTACCCTAGTTGGCCATGAGGCTACCAATACCGCCGAGGTCTATAATGAAGATGGGGTCAGATTAATTCGTTTGAAAAATAGATGAAACGAAAATTTGAGAAAAGTCTATTATGAACGGGGAAAATAAAAGATAATAGATGGGGAAATTCTAATATTGCCCATAGAGTATGGGGATAAATCGGAGAACGTGATTTTCACGCAGGTATGTTATTTGACCAGGAAGGTCTGCTCATGAAAGTGATTGTCGCTCGTCATTGGGACTAAACTCCTTGCAAATTCGGAACGAAAGGAATTGGCATGTTTAGACATTTCTTCACTGCATGTCTCATACGATAGTCTCTAGATTTCGACCGCGCACACCACAACTATCAACAATATGAACAGGAATAGGGTTCTCTAGTCACTAGCCGGCAGTATTCGGAGAGCTGACAGAAAAGAACCCTTGTTGGCAACCTATTAAGCGATCGACTGATCTGCGGTCTAACGTAAGTCCTTGGCGAGATACTCCATTGCAACTGCAACAGGGTGTCTCCTCATTACGCCGATAGACCACTTACATTACTATACTAAAATAAGGACGTAAGGGGTCTCACCCGTACATCCGCACAACAAGCTGTTGTCGATTCAATACCTGTATCGGAGTTATTGTCGTCACCTCATGGATAGGCTTCCCCCTTTTGGGTGCGGAAGAAGATACATATCTAGAGAGAGAGAGAGATGATCAATACCTGTATCTGTGTTATTGTCGTCATGGATAGGATTCCGGGTGCGGAAGGAGTGTTTGCATGTGGACTAGGACCTAGCATTACCCGGCATCTTTTCAACCACTATCTCAGGAATATCGTTTGGGTTGGGATTATTTCATCTACATCGTTGACGTGAAGGATAACGATTGTAGTTCGCGCATAGGATTATTGCCCATCTATAAATCTGCTCGATTGGTTCTGCTTTGCGAACTGTCGGAAAAGTGATGCAATTTGTTAGCGTCAGAATGCCGCAGAAAATAGCAACGAGCTAAGAACCCCAACATCTAAATCTCCCTTCAGTCTTTTTCTTTTCTACCATCCTCTCTTTACAACGTCCTTTAGGATCATCACAGAATCCCCGTTAAATATATTTGTAAAAGTAGGAACAAGTATGGCACAATAAAATTGAAGTGCAGATATTTAGAAGTAATTGATAGATGCTATTAACAGTCGGGAACACTAAGTCTGAAAGGTTTTAGACCAACGGTCCTATTTATATTTTAATTTTTGCTGATGATGAGAGACCAATAAAATATATGTAAATCTAAATCTTCATTTCCTCAAACACCTGCAATCACTCTCCCCTTTTCTTTACAGGGTGTCGCCTATTTACATGCTATGAAACCAAAACCTCTGATACATCGTGATTTAAAACCTCTCAATCTACTACTTACCAATAAAGGACGTCATTTGAAAATTTGTGATTTCGGTACAGTAGCCGATAAATCAACACTCATGACAAATAATAAAGGTTCAGCAGCATGGATGGCACCGGAAGTATTTGAAGGTTCCAAGTATACCGAAAAATGTGATATTTTCAGTTGGGGCATCGTATTGTGGGAAGTTCTGTCACGACAAAAACCCTTTAAAGATGTCGATAATACATATTCAATTATGTGGAAAATACATAAAGGCGAACGACCACCCATTGTACCCGAATGGCCATTGCCCATACAGAATTTAATGACATCATGTTGGGAAACACGGCCAGATTTAAGACCGTCAATGCAATTGGTTGTGGAGGTTATGAATGAATTGGTGCAGGCATTTCCAGGTGCAGATGAGCCACTGGAATATGAATTTGTAAATCAACAGGTGGGTTAACAAAAAATTTCCATTTTACCATAAAATGTTAACATTTTTCCTCTTTCTTTCAGATTATCAGTCCCAGTGTTGATGGAACAAATGATGATGATGATAGCTTTGTATTAGATTTTAGTGATTATAGTTCAACTAGTTTCAGTACATCGAATACACAAGTGACAACACGCCAAACCACCGACGATTCTGGTGGTAGTAGTAGTAGCAATCGTTCCACATCTATTACACCCACTAATCCATTTTTACCTCCAGCTCATATTAATTCTATGCGTTGGGATGTAATACAGGAAGAAGAAAATTCCGAAAGTTCATCGAATCAAACCACAGGTGATCAACCAGATAAACCAGTGGAAACATTTAATTTAACTACATCGGAGGAATCAAAGGCTCGTTATGAAACCATACGCAGTAATATGTTGGATAATGCCAATGTAACAATGGCCCCATTGGGTATTGATGTTGATCCGGTAAGTTTTAATTGGTGATTGAAATTTTTTATTAAATTAATTTTTTGCGTTCCTTTTTTTCTGTTTCACAGAATGCTTGGGAACTAGAAAATAATGACAATCTTGCAAGTAATTTTGGTAAGTGAAAATAATTTAAATTATACATATTATTATAAATATAGGTAGGGCCTATTACAATCAGCTGAAGTAAATAAGAACAAAAATGCATTAAGAAGAGAATAATCAAAAATTTAAATCAAATCTGCAAGAGAACGTCTTGACAGTCTTTTACTGATTTTAAGAAAGAACTAAATAGTGCAGAACTAGTACCAAGGGCTTATCGCACAAAATAAAAAATTAAAATACAAATTAGCCCAAAAAATATAGATTTGTGGCAGAGGAGACCTATCATCGGACAAATTCCAGGACTGGTAAAAATGTGAAAATCGAGTCCAAAATGTCTAAAACGAATTTGCTCAAGAGATATGTGGGGTCTCAAATCCAATACTTCTCTGAGGCACCTTTTTAGTCGTAGCAGCCATAAAGCTGTGGGTATGAACATGGGGTTTCGATCTACATCCGGTCCGAGCCCTGAAAAAGGCATGATTGAACCTTTTTCATGTTTTACAACGTTAGAATGGATTGATCGAAAATTATATTGGTATACTAATTTAAATAACTATGGAAAGTCGTAGCAAAGAGTGCGAGGAACAACGGATGATGTAGAAAATATCTACCAAACCGTTCAGTCCATGCATAGGTTACGTTATTCATAGAGAAAACAAGTAGCTAATAAAGAAGTACGTAGTAAAAAGTGTCGATGTCGATCTATGCCGTCTTTATTGTCTCTTTCTCCACTTCGTCGTCACAGATTCTGCAGTAATCAGTAACATCATGGTCTCACTTCTATATCATTGCCCTGATATTGCAATTACCAGTAATGACTCTAATTTCAGCTTTGCTCAGGTTCAGCAGTGAGTTTGTTCTTTTGGCTGACAGAATCTCCCAGATATATCTTGAAACATTGCACCTCGATTCGTTGTGCCAAAGTTCGTTCGCCAAAGAGCGCCTCAAAATTCCGGAAAAGGTGACAGATGGATGGTTTAATTAAGTCATAAATTGCTAGATCTGTAGATTCAGATCCTCGTCTAACTAGTTCGTCTGTTTTTTCATTACCCATGCTGTCACTGTGTCCTGGTATCCAGCATAGCCGATAGCTGTTAGTGTTTCCAAAACTGTTCTAAACTCGAAGGCAACCTCAGATTTGGTGTTACAGGATTTGATGGCTTTAAGAGCCGCCCGCTATCTACAAAGATAGTCACTGGTTCACGAACTTCGCATCCAGACTTTTTATCAATTCGGCTACTTTCAATCCCAAAGATTTCAGCTTGGAAAACACTACACTTGCTAGCCAACTTGTAGGTAAGCTTAATGCCTAGCCAGCCCCTGTACCTTCTTCCATCTTTGATCCGTCTGTATAAAAAGCCGACCGTCCAGAGGAGGGTTACTACGGTTTCAGTTGTCTCTACTGAGGATAACGACATCTACATCGTCAAATCTCAGGACTGGTGATGTATTGTCGCTATGTTTTCCAATTTCGCCAAAGGTTCTGTTCATGCAGCCTTAGGGCACTACGTGCTGCCTGACACTTAATGCTGAGACCCAGAGGCGTTAAGTTCAACATTGTTTTCAGAGCTGCTTGGTTAGTGCTCCTCGCGGCTCCAGTTATAAGAATCAAGGCTGCTCTTTGTACCTTGTCTAGTTTGCTGGATGTAGACTTATGACGTAGGCAGTATTACCAAACAAGATATTCATAGGATAGGCCTTGCCATGGTGTTATATATCCAGTTTATAGTCGATGGTTTTAGTCTCCAACTTTTTCCAATGGAATTCTTGCATGTATAGAGTGCAATCTGCCCTCCTTTCGCCCACACATCAGCATTCCTGTTCCCACGTAGTTGACTGTCCAGGTTCGTGCCAAGATATTTTGCTTTTGGCGAGAGATGAAGCTGCATTCCATCCAGTGTTGGCGAAACAAAGACGTAGAACTTACGTTTCCTGGTGAACATTACCAGTTCTGTTTTTGATTGATTAACTCCAAGGCCGTTAGCCTTGGCCCAACATGACAGCGTCGATAAGGCTCTTTGCATAAGCATCGAAATGGTTGACGGAAATTTACCAGAAATCAATATCGCCGCTCGTCCACATAGGCAATGACTTTTGATACCCTACCTGTCCAGCTCCATCATTATATTGTTGATTACCAATAGCCACAGCAACGGTGGGAGCACACCGCCCTGAGGTGTACCTTTAGTTACTGTTTTACTGATTTTTTGTCTCCCCAACATTTGAATTTATAATTCTGCTTTTTAATTTTTTATCTATCCAACACGTAAGGGTTTCAACTAACAACAACACAACAATTGTAACTGACACAACATCGCTGACAACTATATTTCCTAGGCCATTAAATTTTTCAAATATATTGCAAATTTCTCACTGCATTATTTTTATACAAACAAAAATAAAATGTGGCAAATGGTGCATTAACTTTAGCATGACATTGGCTAAAATACAAAGCCAAGAAATAGAAACAAACTTAATGATGATTTGCCAAAATTTCAAATTGTTGTTGTTGTTAAGGCAGCAGCAGCAGCAACAAATTATGTCATATTTAATTTAAATTAATTTATTGCATTGTTTTAAAAACAGATTTTCACACAACTAAATTTAGAATACCGAATAATAAATGACTGCATGTTATATATTATTATTTTTTATTTCAATCCAAAAGACATGCTGTCTGTCGACTCTGCTTCTAGAAAAGCTAAAATAGAAATTCATATTTCTTTCGTTGCTTCTTTTTGCTCGATGAGTTGGTTTATTTGGCACCAATGTGTCTAATGCATTGACATGTAGGATTATCACGATTTTAATATTAACATTTAATATATGTATGACATAAAATAGTAGTTTAGAAATTCGCTGAGAGACTCAACTTAAGGGGACCCCCCATTCTCGGGGTCAAAAATTTTGTTGATATAATTCGAATCTACACTAATTAAAGAATGTCCCTACAAAATTTCAAATGAAAATCTCAAGAACTCTTGAAGATATAGCCGATTTATTGTGTCAGCATCAAGTGACGGCTGAAGGGCTTCACAAACTTTAAACGCGTTTTTCTCTAAACATTTTTTTGCGAATGGCGGGCACTATAAATCAAAAACTAATAACCCAATCGATTTCAAACTTTTACACGTTTCTCTGTGAGTGTATAGCTATCGTATGAACTAGGATAAAGCCAATCGGTGAAGATCTTCCTTATTTTTTGACTTGGGCTTTGGTAAAAAATCGGCGATTTTCCAAAAATATTTTTTCAAAGGTCCACCATTTTGTTAATTTTAGAGCGAAGTCAATAATCCTAGTTCATACGAGAGCCAGACATGTACTCTTTCTAACACCGTTGGAATTTTCGGATTCCGATGCTCCAGTGAGGAGTTATAATGCCCGCCATAAAAAATAAGGACTTTTCTTTAATTACAAAAACAATAACAAAATTTTTTTGTAAATTATTTTTCTTCTATTTTAAATCTTCAATTATATATGTGTAAAGTTACAAACCTTAACAAGCATTGGTATTGATTCACCAGCCCATTGAAAATCTTGAAAAATTAATATCGAGAATGGGTGGGGTTCCCTTAAGGGAAATCTTAAAAATAAAAAATCGAGAAGGGGGGCTCCCTTAATAGATCTTGCGATCTCTAAGTGTGTTTTGAAGAACCTAAAATAAAAAATGTTGATGTCAATCTTCCTACTACCTTCGATGATTCTCCTTGATTTGTAGAAGCCACCTCGATACCATTGTGGTATACATGTCGCCATCCTCATCTGTCAAAACAAATCATCCCAGAGGTAAATTGGAATGTTTTCTTTCTTCAAATCATACATGATGTCCTGATGTGTTTTGAGTTGGAATTTTTTTAATAGCCAGTTGTTCAGCGACGTACAACGGTTTTATTATTCACATCTCTCACTTTTCCCCAAGAGCTGGAATTTTTCCATTACATATATCGTTCCATTTTTTATACCTTCACCACACTGCGATACAGGGTATTATGTCTTTGTGCATATGTTTGTAACAGGCAAAATGAATCGATATAGACCCATGGTTTCTTTTTAAAATGTGTATAGAATCGCTTTCTAAGTCGATATATGCATGTCCGTCCGTCTGTTGTTGTTGTAGCAACTGTCTACATGTTTGTTGTATTTAAAAATTGGCACAAATCACTTATTTGGCCCAAGGACGAAGCCTATTAAAGTTATTGTTTTAGTGAAATCGGTTCAGATTTAGATATAGCTCCCATATATAGCTTCGTCCGATTTTATGTAAATGATGCACCAAACTCCCAATATTTGTCCAATTCGGTTCAGTGAAATCGGTTCAGATTTAGATATAGCTCCCATATATACCTTCGTCCGATTTTATGTAAATGATGCACCAAACTCCCAATATTTGTCCAATTGATTCAAAATTTTGCACAGCGTACTGAATTCAGTCCAGTTTGCTTTCTGTGAAGTTTTGTTGAAGTCGGTTCAGATTTACAAATATCTTCCATATATAGCTTCCTCCGAGTTTATGTACATGGTGAACGAAACTCCCAATATTTGTCAGATTTAGATACAATTTTGCACAGCGTACTGAATTAAGTCCAGTTTGACGTGTGATTTTGTTGAAATCGCTTCAGATTTACATATAGCTTCCATATATAGTTTCGCCCGATTTTAGGTAAATTGGTGAGTAGGCTTAGCTGGGCAATTGAAGAGGTGCAACGTGTCGTGTGGTCCTAGTCCACATGCCGGACATGTGTTAGGTATCGAGCCGTCAATTCTTGCCCAATATTAATTGAGGCGGTTTCACCATCCTGATCTTAGTTGAGCTAAGACTACTCGTGTTTGCCTTGGCAGCTGCTTCTCCTCTGCTGCAATGGATGGGGGATGGTCTCCAATTATGGTATTCACTCGATATTGCTCTACTGCCTGAGCGACTGCATCCGTGTGAATACCATTCAGCCCTGCTTGATAGGCTTCTTGATCTAGGGGTTTACGCTTGTATCTTTGGACCTCTCTCTCTAGATCATGAAGATCTTTCCTGATGTGCCTGGGTGGGGGAGTCCTGTCCATAAGGCTATGGCAGGCATGTTCCTGACGATA